AGGGTGCCATAAATAAGGTGAAACAAAAGCTTCAAACTGGTTCAATGCCTTTGTTGACACTGATTAATATTTATAGGTAGGAGCAGAATCTGGGAAGGGGTTAAAAGGATCCAGGAACTGTGGGACAGGGGAAGACAAGTCTCCAGGGAAGCAGGTCCCGGAGTCCAAGACAAGGCTCCTCCATTGGATGGAGCTGGGCCAGATGCAATTGATGAATGAAGCCATCCAACACCTGCCGCCAGGTAGACTTTTTTTCCAACGCTTGCTGTCAGGACACTCAGGGCTTCTTGGAGTTGAGGGGCTTGTGTTCACTGCATCCTTTAGGCTCCATCCTTGGTCTTGTGAGTCAGAGTCTCAGAGATGGGGTTGGTGACCTGCACTGTTCACCGCCTTCCCAGATATTGGGCTGCACAGGGAGCTGTGTCCTCTGAGAATAGCTGCTGCTGTGCGGGCTTAGCTGCACCTGAGCCTGGGCCACAGACTGGGGAGGAACATGAGGACAGGTCTGCTTTTATTTTTCTGTAATTCAGCAAGTGCCTGGTTGCATGGAGTCTGCTTCTTCTCTGGGGTATTACGGAGGTGCCTCTCTAGTCTGTAGTGCCCTGGCCCTGTTGGTGTCCACTCACATGTCTTTCTGAGAACCTCTTTCACAGCCGCCCTCGAGTCTCTTCCTTTTGGTCTGGGAGCAAGGTGGGGGACAGCCCTGCATTCGCTTCTGCAGTGGAGACAAAGTTTGAGCCAATCCCCACGTCCCTCTGGCCTCCCCATCCTCATGGCCATCACACTTCTGAGGCCTACAAGTTGTGGGGTCAGAGAATAGTCCTGAAGTGGTAACGCCCAGGGCAGAGTCCCCACTGCCTCCTGCTCTGTCTTCCCACTGAGTGTGACACTCACAGAAGCTCCTGGCCCTGGCTCCCCCTCCTGTGATCCCCACGGCCCTCTCAGGGTCTTCCCCTCTGCATGCTCCCAAACACAGCTGCACGTTCCCTCACCTGGAGACTCTCCAAGGCCAACCCACTGCTCCAAGGCACCCAGGGACTGTGCCCTGAATCTGCCCCAACCTCAGTGCTTCCTGCAGAGGAAAGAAGGACCATCTTCTGCACCCCCTTGTAAACAATCCTCTCCAAGGCTGCTTCTCTGCCTTATACTGTCATTGTGAGGTATTTTCCTCCTGGAACAAAGTTCACTTTGCTCTTAGTATCTCCACAGGCGGAGCACAGGAGAGAGCCTTAACCTGGTCAGGCTAAGTTGACATTGCGCTAAGCCTGCCCCCTGGCCTCCCCGCTCCTTGTGAACCTGAACCTCTGAGGAAAGAGACTGGTCCACTGTCTGCAGCTCTCAGACAATTTTGTGCTTGTGGTAGGTGCTCAGCAAAAATGTTATCAACCAGTTAGTAGGGATATGGAAGCTTGTCTGTATACGTTGTGGTTACTTGTTATGGATTGAATTGTGTCCCCCAAAAATGTGTGTCAGCTAGGCTAGGCCATGATTCCCAGTATTGTATGGTTGTCCTCCATTATGTAATCTGACACAATGATCCTATGTGTTGTAAATCCTAACCTCTATGATGTTAGTGGGAGCCTTGGTGGCGCAGTGGTTAAGAATTCGGCTGCTAACCAAAAGATTGGCAGTTCAAATTCACCAGCTACTCCTTGGAAACCCGAAGGCAATGGTTTTCTTTTCTTTTTTTTTTAAGTTGTGTTGTTAATGAGGCAGGATTAGCGGCAGTTATGTTAATAAGACAGGACACAATCTACAGGATTAGGTTGTATTTTGAGTCAATCTCTTCTGAGATATAAAAAAGAGAATCAACCAGAGATGAGAGAGACTTCATGCCACCAAGAAAGAAGTGCTGGGTGCTGAGTGCGTGCTTTGGACCCAGGGTACCTGCTCTGAAAATCTCCTAGACCAAGGGAAGATTGATGACAAGGACCTTCCCCCAGAACCGACAGAGAGAGAAAGCCTTCCCGTGGAGCTGGCATCCTGAACTCAGACTGTGAGAGAATAAATTTGCTTGTTAAAGCCATCCACTTGTGGTATTTCTGTTATAGTAGCACTATATACCTAAGACACTTATTGTGGGCCATGAAATTGTATGGCAGGGATCCTTGTTCACTGATTATTTTTATGAATCAATGTCATCTGTTTAGAAAAAGTGTGTTCACTTAGGAAAAGCAGATACAGCTGAAGGTTATATCACATCTAAAAATTAACAGAACTGTTCAAATTCTTGAGTTGCTGAAATTCTATTGCAATTCTGGCCGTCACCTGGAATATTTAATCATAGGTCAGAGCTTAAAATATGTGTTTATTGATAGAATTGAAGTACATTGATATAACTTTGATTGTACCTTTGATATGATGTGATGAGACGGGCACTTTACCTTTGTGATCTTCCTCCCCAAACCCATAGTCTCATCATGAGAAAAACATCAGACAAATCCCAATTCAGGCATATTGTACAGAACACCTGGCTACTTCTCAAAACAGTTAAGCCCATCAAAAGCAATGAAAGTCTGAGAAACTGTCACAGCCAAGAGGAGCTTGAGGAGACATGATGATTAACGGGACCCTGGGTGGGGTCCAGGATGGGGTCCAGGGTCAGCAGAGAAAGGACATTAGGGAAATCTGGATGAAGTGTAGACTTGAGTTAATAAACATGTATCAATCAATATTGGTCCATTAATTGTGACAAATATTCTGCCCTGCTGTAAGATCTTAACAACAGGGCAACCTGGGTGGGGAGTGTATGGGAGGTCTTTGTACCATCTTCTCAACTTTTCCGTAAATCTAAAGCTGCTCTAAAAACTGAAGTCAGTTTAAACAGAAACCCATCTTTCCCGCAGGGGTTGTTTGTACACGGGCTCTTGTCTAAGTCATCATGGCAAGGACTTCCCACTCAGGGATCTATCAGTTCAGCCGCCAGGCCTGGCCCATGAGGCACAAAGGCACCCTCCACCCTGGAAGCCCCATCCCCAGCCACCTGAGGTGCCCTGGCTTATTGAGCCCAGTCATCCCAGGACTGCTCCCTGTAGGGCCACCCTACCTCCAGATGGGGTAATTGCTCTCCAGGGCTGCTCCTAGCTGCTCCCTAGACGAAGCGTCCACCCAAGGGGGTGGCTGCCAGTTAAAGGTCAACAGCAAACAAAGGAGCCCCTAAGCAGCGAGACACGGGGCTTTAGACACAGGTCACGTGTCACCTTCCCCACCAGAGTAAGATGTCATGTATCTTCCATGAAAAGTGGCATCACGTTCAGACAGAAAATGATTGGGATGTGTCCTTTGTATTAATAGTGGACACGGTAATAGTGGATAGCTTCTGTCTATCTGTCCACCCCTGGCCTCTTGGACTGTCTGTCCTAATTTTGCTTTTGATGTTTCTGAAAAGACAGATTTGTTTTTATCCTGACCTATTTTATATATTATGGGGAAAAGAATGCTCCTAAAAGTGCTTTGCTCGTGTCTTTTGCTATTTCAGTTTGAAACTGTAAAGTGTCGGCACCTGCCACACATCTGCTCAGTGTCCTAACCGATCAGTGTGGTTGATCTACCGGTAAGAGGGGAACAACACACGGTGTCTTATCTCCAAAGTGGGTCTCGGTCTGTAAAGTGAATGGGAAGTCGCTGACTCAGCAGGGACCAGCAGCCAAGGTTTCTGTAAATCTGGTGCAGGGTGGACTTCCGTCTTCAGGGGCTAAGGCCAGAGGAAGGTATGCAGGTATTGCCTGCACGTGGAGGGTCTTGGTGGTCACTGGGTGGGGTCTTGCAGGGACCCTTAGAGGTGGAGCTCCCTGGATGGGCTTCATCCTGCTGCTCTCGGCTCTCCTTCTGTGGATTGAGTGTCAAGTCTTCCTGAGGCCTGTGCCACCCCTACTCCTCCACAGGCACCGAGATATGAGAGAGGATTAATCAACCAGCAGTCAGAATGGTCCGAAAACCCAGAACTTTCCCACTCTTCAGCTCCATCAAACAGGTCACTAAGACTAATTACATCTCCCGTATATCTAGCGTCTCCTGTTCGTATTACACTGTGGAGGAGATGTTTTTATTTAAAACATGCACATGTGGTGGACACTGTGCCTTTGGGAAGCCCTCAGCCCAACCCCTAAGCATCCAGAGCAAGACCTTGGACTCTCCTAACCCCACTGGGGTTTGCAATGCCCCAGGGAAGGGACACTCAGTGCTGGTGGATCCAGCTGCTCCCTGAGTGGGGCCCTGCCCAGAGATGTGGGTCAGAGGTCCTGGGGTCCCTGTGTTGGCAGGAGATCACAGAGCTGTGCTGAGGCTTGGGGTGTGCCCATCCCTGCTGCCCCCAGCCGTGCACAGCCTGGCGCTCACTGAAAGAGCAGGCTTACCACCAGGCCAGGAGAAACGGGATGGGATTGGAACTGGGGTCGGGGTTCTTGCCAGTGGGATCAGCTGCCTCAATACAAACTGCGGGCATCCCTACTGCTGCCCCCTCATGGGGGTGCGCCCTTTCTTGGGGAACAGCCTGTAGCAGGCAAAGCTGGCCGGGCAGTAATGCTTGTGACTAAAGAGCCTGTACAGGTGAATCTGCAGCCGACTCCAACTGCCCCTTGACACCCCCAGGCTACATCTGCCAGGAGAACAGAGCACTTGGTGCCCCGGCCACATCCCAGGCTTTTCTTCCTGGGATTCAGAGTCCCAGCACCTGGCCTGGTGTCTGGGTGGGCCAGTGGTGAGTCCTGGTCATCAAGAGGTGTGCTGAGACCAGCGTGATGCTGGCCTGGCCACAGGGGAAAGCTGTGGGGGAAGGGTATCTTCAGGGAGAGGAGAGGCCACTTGGGAGGGTCCAGGGTGAACAGCTAATTCCCTGACTGCCCCCAGGATGAAGGGACACATTAATACCTTAGTTGCGTGCTTTCTGGGCGAAGCTGCCAAAGAGCCCTGCTTGGGTGAGAGCAGGGCCATGGCCGAGGACGGCATCACCCACCCTCTTGTGCCCCCTTCTGCCCAGGGACCCCAATAGTCTCTCCCAAATGGCAACAGACAACCACACGACCATAGTGGACTTTGTCCTGCAGGGCTTCTCAGAAGACCCCCGGCTCCGGGGCCTGCTCACGGCCCTTTTCCTCTTCCTCTACCTGATGGCCCTTGCAGGAAATGGCCTCATTGTCACAGCCGTCAGCCTGAGCCCAGTTCTGCACACCCCCATGTACTTCTTCTTCACCAACCTGGCCGTTTTGGACATCGTCTGCACGTCCACCATTGTCCCCAAGCTCCTGGAGAGCCTAGTGGTCTTCGCAGACAACATCTCCTATGGGGGCTGCTTGGCCCAGCTCTTCTTCCTGACCTGGTTCCTGGGGGCCGAGCTGCTGCTGCTCACAGCCATGGCCTTTGACCGCTATGTGGCCATCTGCCGGCCACTGTGCTATGGTGCCATCGTGAGCTGGCCACTATGCGCACTGCTGGCCTCAGCTGTGTGGATAGTCAGTGCCATCAGCACGTCCGTGCATACAGGCCTCATGGCACAGCTGAACTTCTGCAGCCCTAACCGCATTCGGCACTTCCTGTGTGAGATCCCCACCCTGCTGCTGTTATCCTGTAGCCCTACGGCCCTCAACAGCATCATGATCATCATTGCTGATGTCTACTTTGACGTGGTCAACTTCCTGCTCACCTCGGCCTCCTACGGTTGCATCGTGGCCAGCATCCTGCGCATATGCTCGGCCGTGGGCAAGAGCTGTGCCTTCTCTACCTGCTCCTCTCACCTCCTGGTGGTCACCTCGTGCTACTCCACCGTCATCTACACCTACATCCTCCGGGGCTCCGGCGCCTCCATGGAGAACAGCAAGCTGGTGGCCGTGCTGTACACAGCGGTCAGCTCCGCCCTGAACCCACTCATCTACACACTTCGGAACAAGGATGTGAAAGCAGCACTCCGAAAGGTGACCCCCTTCTCCCAGTAAGGAAAGGGAGTGACCTGGTGAACTCTCCTGGTGTTAATTCTGTGAATTTCAAAATATGACTTTGAGAATCAGATGCACGAGGCATGGAGCAAGAAGGTAATTAATGGGACAGATTTATAAATAAGGAGATTCCCCCATGGGGCTGCCCAGCGTGTTACCTGGAACATTAGCAAATCCTGACCCTGGGGGCATGGCTACGGCTGCCAGGAGCGAGGGCACCCAGCAGTAAGGCTTTATGTGGGGGGTGACGCTGTCACTTCTTTCAGGGTAGGAGACCAAGTTTGGGCATGAGGCTCCCTGAGCACATTGCTTAGTGCATTCCAACATGGGGTCTTCTTGATATCCTGCTGTGGAGAGCCTCACCCAGACCCTGGTTCTCTGACCCAACTCCCTTGGTGTGGTGGCTCCTCACCAAGTCCATGAGTCTCCTATCCCTGGTGTGGCAGAGAGGACGAGCTGTGCAAGCTGGTTTCCACTCTAACTAGAAAGGAGGTATATTTCTTTTTATTTTTCCTTTCACAAAAGGTGTCATCATTCTTCACCAGGAAGCTTTGCCATAGCAGGAAAGGGTTCTCTTTTGTCTTTAGTTTTACAACAACTTCTTCAACATTGCTTTTATGGATTCAATTCCTCAGTACCCTTTCCACTATTATCGTTTGTCTTATTCTCTGCTTCTAGCTTCAGTTTGTTAATGTTCTTCATCGTCTCAGCCCAACCCTCTTCTCTCAGTAATTTCATCTGTGCCCCGCCTGCATTTATTGTTAATATTTGCCAGTGGTATCCAGATTTATAGCTGCAGTGCAAACCTCACCTCTGAGCCCTGGACCCATGATATAACTGCCCATCTAGTATAGCTCCTTGGAAATCTTCCAGGAATCTCATTTAGCAGGTCTAAATGCATGACTTTCAATTCTCCTCAACCTCATCCAGCTGCAAGAGTCACAATTATTGGCAAATTCTTGATACTCTTTCCCAGCCTCTCTGTCCAAACCATCTCCAAATCTTATTCTTACACTTGAAAGTCTTCACATCCAATGCTTCTCCCATCTCTAGCACCTACCCAAGATGCCATAGTGTTCTTATTGGTTGACGTGGCAATTTTTACCTAGTCTTCCTACATCTATTCTTGATTGCCCAAGATTATTGCTATACCTTGTGTCCAGATCTATATTTTCACATTTGATTATGCAAGGTTTTAAACATACATAAAGTTGAAAGAATTTTACAGCATAATTTGATATTACATTTGTTCTATTACTCATCTATTTATCCATCTACTCATCTTACTTTTTATGTATTTCAAAGTAAGTTGCAAAGACCAGTACACTTCATAAATACATCAGTATGCATATCATTAATTAGAGTTCAACTTTTTTTAACAGTTTTTTTTTTCCTTTTGAGGTAAATTTTTTTAAACAAGGAAATGCATAAATAAGAGTGTACGTTTGCTGGGTTTTGACAAATGCATACAGCTTTTTTGTAGCCCAAACATTTCTCAAGGTACAGAGCATGACCATCACCTCATAAACTTACCTCCTGCCTCTTCCCGTCAACCCCCACCTCACCTCCTAAGGGCATCACTGTTCTGATATTTTCCACCATAGATCAGTTTTGCATGTTCTAGAATGTCATATAAATGGAATCATATAATTACGTATTCTTTTATGTCTGGCTGCTGTTATTTCACTTTGCATAATATTTTTTTGATTCACTCATGTTGTTGCATGTGTCAGTAGTTTGTTCCTTTTTATTTTTTGATTAATACTCCACTGTATGACAATACCACATTTTACTTAGCCATTTGTCTGTTGATGGACATTTGTATTGTTCCTAACTTTTGACTATTGTGAATAAAGCTGCTCTACACATTTGTGTGCAAGTCCTTTTGCAGCCGTGCTTTTATTTTTCTTGGGTAAATAACTAGGAGTAGAATCGTTGGGTCATAAGATAGGTGTATGTTTAGTTTTATAAGAAATCGCCAGTCTTTTTTCTGAAATGATTGTACCATTTTATGATCCTACCAGCAACGAATGAGAGTTCTGGTTGCTCCACATGTGTGTCGACATTGATGTTAGATATTTTAAATATTGAAATCTAATGAAGCCATTCCTCTGCTTATAGCCCTTGAGTAGCTTCTTATTGTTCATGGGATGAAGCTAGAAATTCTTCATGATCTGTCCTCTACAAGAGGGATATAGTGCTGTAAACTTCCCCTTAAATATTGCTTAATGGCATCCCACAAATTGCTCTATGTTATATTTTCATTCTCATTAAATTCACAATACTAATTTTCGTTTCAATTTCTTATTTAATCCATTGGGTTATTTAGAATTGTGTTATTTAGTTGCTAAATATTTGGGTATTTTCCAGTTATCTCTGTTGTTGATTTCTAATTTAATTCTATTGTGGTTACAGAACATACTTCGTATGACTTGAATTCTTTTAAATTTGTTGAGACTGGTTTTATGGGCTAGTGTATGTTCTTGATAATTATTCTGTGTGCACTTTGAAAGAATGTATATTTTGTTGTTATTGGGTATTCTATAAATGTCAATGAAGCCAAACTGATGATTGTGCTGTTCAAGTCTACTATACTCTTGCTAAATTTCTATCTACTTGTTCTATCAGTTATTGAAAAAGGGTAGTGAAATCTCCTACTATAATGATACATTTGTGTATTTCTCCTTGCAGCTCTATTTTTGCTTCATGTATTTTGAAGCTCTGTTATTAGATGCATAAACATTTAGGATTCTTAATTCTTCTTGATTAATTGATCCCTTTATTGTCATGAAGTGTCCTTCTTTATTGCTGTTAATATTCTTTGCCTGATATTAAAATAGTCACTTCACCATTCTTTTTACTGCTATTAACATGGTATAGTTTTTTCATCTTTTTAATTTTACTCTGTTTGTGTCTTTATATTTAAAGTGTGTTTTTGTAGATAGCATATGTTAAGTCTTACTTTTTAATCCAGTCTGAAAATCTCTGCCTTTTAATTAGAGTGTTTCAACCATTTATACTTAATGTGATTATTTCACCTTCATTTTTGAAAGATATTTTTGCTGGGTATAGAATTTTAGAATGACAGTTTTTTGTTTTTGTTTTTGTCTTTCAGTGCTTTAAATATGTTGCTACCTGTCTTCTTGCTAGCATTCCTTTTAACAAGAAATCTGCCATCATCCTTGCCTCTGTTCCTCTGTACATATTACATTATGTTCTGAACATATTACATTAATTTGAATGGTTATTTGATTAACGTGTTTCTGTTGCACTAGACCATATGACTGTATGGGCCAGGTTTATTTTCTCTCATTTAGATCTCCAATAGATTTACATAATAGAGACTCAATAAATATTGTTGAATGGATGAATAAATTAGCTATAATTAATGACTGTATGATCTATTCAGGTTCCTTGGGAAGTGAGAAAGAGAAGCTCAAGAGGCAAAGTACATTCTGGTTAGGTAAACCACTCCTTTACAGTACTTAGGATTTTTTTCTTATTTTTAGGACCTTAAGGAATATGAAGGATTTTTTTTTTTGTCTGTGGTTTTTGAGAACAAAATACAGTACTTTGCTTAGATGACGATGCCTGTGCTCTAGAGTGTAAGACACTGAGCAGAAGTGAGTGAGGAAGACAATATGGGAAGCAGGCTGCTTCCTCTCTTGGTACTAGTTCTGGAGCCTCTTTATTTCTTCCACCTTAGCACTGTCATGTGATGAAAAAGTAATGACTAAATTGACTTCCTTGGAACAGAATGGATGGAGACCATCCAATAAAAGGGGGGATTGGTGACCAAAAACTTTAATAGAATGCTGATTTCTCTGTTCATCTATTAGAGAGATGTCATGAGGACTAGGTTCTGAAAAGTCCTGCAACAAGGACACACTTGTTACATGTTGACCCAGTGTTTCCAGACGTCACGGACCAGAGAAGCACCATCACATGCAGTTCCCATCAGCAAGGGAGAGTGCATTTGGAGAGCCCTGTGGCCCTAAGAGAGACTGTCCATGCTTTGGGAGCAATGTCTGCTCCTGAGCTGCTGGTGACTCCCCCCAGACTGCTTACAAGGACGGAAACAAGTGGATCCTGAAGTCCAGCTCCTCTAACTGATCAGTCAGGTTGCTGTGATGAGTATGGCTATAAGTCAACCCATTGCAGAAGGGATTCAAGCCAGCACACACCACTTTTCATCTTTGCCTAACCTTTGGCTTGAGTGCTTAGTGGAACATAGAGGGAACTGGGAAAGGCCAGGGTAGAAATGTGGCCCAGCAGTTCCTGGAGTCCTAGAGCAGAGGGGAAAAAGGAAGTCATGACCTATAGAGTTAAGGAAGAGGTTGGAGAGCAGCAAATTGCTGCCCTGTGACCATACTCCTCTTCTGCATATCTTCATACAAAATATAGACTGTGCAAAGACCTCAGAGAGGCTTTCTTTGCCCCATTACTTAAAAGTTTTTCTCCAACTAGTCACATTATAGTATTCTGTTTATTTCTCTTAGAGTATTAATCACTATCTGAAATTGTCTTGCTTATATATGTATTCATTTGTATTTTACTGGATTATAAGTTCCATTAGAGTGTGAGGTTTTGTCGGTTTGATTCATGCCTGTATTCTAGTACCTAGAACATTAACTGGCATATAGTAGGCACCTAATAAATGTTAGTTGAATGAGTGAGTGTCTCCTCACATTAGAATGTAAGTACTGTGAGAGCAAGTATCTGCCTTACTCAAGCAGAGCAGGAAGCAGAATACCTGGCATATAGTAGGTGCTCAGTAAATGTTTGTTGATTTATGAGTGCATGCCCTTCTTCTAGGAACTTTGATGCTGGACTAAAGGCTAAATGTGATTTTGTAGGAGTCTTAGAATAGGGCCACAAGTTTGTGTGAAGTTTTGCAACCATGGAGGCCAGCTTTTGTCTCCAGCTAAGAAGTCAGGGTTGTATCTATTCACCATACTTATTCAATCTGTATGCTGAGCAAATAATCTGAGAAACTGGAC